TGTAGTAGAACAATACTGTAGATCTATCTTACATGAAATCAAGCCTTAGAAATGGGGACAGATGAATGATATTTAATGTACTGTGTATTGGGAAGGTATTTTATAGTATAATTGTTTAAGAGGGTTTTAGACCCTTGGTTCCTGCTGAAAGAAATCCCTACTGTAATCACTGAAGAAAACAGTCATCAGGTTGCTTTCCAAGGATTTCACCATGAGTCTCAGAAGCAGTTTAGCCATGTGGCTCTGTAGTATGAGTAGTAAAGGCTAATTAATCTGAGAGCAACATTGTCATAATGTGGTTATTCTTTACCATTTAGAGCCAGCTCATGTCTGATGCACACTTTACTGAGTCACGCACCTGGATGAGTTGAAATGATCAGAATTAGGAGCTCATTTTTTGAGATGTTGTAAATTCAAAATTCTTTAAAATATTAGAGGCGCCATGCTCATTTAAAAAATATAAAGAGAAAATAATAACAAAAGTTGCATTTAGCTTATGGGTCTCATTCACACATGTTTTCTTATGCCTTTTGAGATTTTTAGTGCCTCTAGGCTATAACCAAGGGAGTTGGAACACTTTTTTTAATGGTTTCAAGAGGTACAGCTTTGAGGAAAGTATCACTTTTGAAACTTGTTATAAAATCACAAATTAGCAGATATACACAGGTCATCTAGATCTAGCTCAGCCTTATTTCTTATGCATCTTCCTTTTCAAAGATGAGGGAAAATCTTTAAAAGTGCTAAGATAAAGGCAGATACCTTGCTACTGAATTTAAGTACTTAGGAGAAGGTCAGATACTATAATCAATTGCTTTATAGAATGTCTTTCACTTTATGTCGCTTGAAAAATGCCTTAATTAACTTATTAGCTGTCTTAGAATTCATATGAGCACCTCTCAACTTCATCACTGATGAAGTGAAATTCTGTGATACCATCTGTCCAGCTACATCCAGCCAAATGGTCTCTGGTAAAATGGACAGCTTTATTCTTCTACAAGGGTGGCATGTCCTTCAGATCTTAGGAAAATTTCTTCAGCTTCATTTCTGCTAAAATGAAAGGCCAAACCTGAAAATAGTACCCCTAGTTTCTCCAGTGTTGTATAACTGCATCAGCTGCCTTGGCACCCAAACCTTGCATAAATTGATAAACACCCTTCTTTTGAGCCTTCTTTTTCTGTTAGAAAAATTCTCTAAGAGAATTAGAGAATGTTGTTTGGGTTGACATACTTCTGGTGCCTGTTTTTTGATAGTTGGGGTAGTAAATCAGCATGCTTGAAGAAATTAAATGTCCTTTAGGTCTCCTTTACCTCTATGTGGTAGGAACTCAAGAGTACAGATGATTGCATGGAAGTTTTGAGCTTATTCCTTTGCTTCATTCCAGTTTTGTGTAATGAAACATCAAGATTTATTTACTTGCTACAAATAAATGCAGTTCAGGTTCAAGTGAATTCAAGTAATTTTTTTGTCTTCTCCCTCCTATTCCCCCAGAAAGAATGCAGAAATCTCAAGTACTCTCTCTTTTTTCCTCTTAGCAAAATAGTTGTGCTATCCTCCATGAAGCAGAAAGACAGTTTCCCAATTTTCTGAGGTTTTTGTTTGAAAATTCAAATTCCTTAAGAGCTATGCAACAAAGTCTTGTGTGCATTAGTGAGCCTGAAGGCCCTGACCAGCCTTTTCAGGGACCTACACAGCAGCCTGCCCAGAAGATCTATTTCACCTGCACCTGAGTCCTCAGTCTCTGCTTGCACTATGTCACAGGTGTCCTGTTGTTCATCTACCCCAGAGCTGTGGGCCCCATTTATTCAATTTTCCTGCCATGAGCTTGAACCTGCCTTATCACTATGGTTCCACTGAGTGGTCACTAAACTCTGCCTGACTTGTGGTTACCTTCACCAGACCAGATCTAGGCTCGAAAGAGCGAATTAGCTTCCTGATTCGACTCAGATTTGTGTCATCACCATTAACTTGGCTGATGATCTGGACTCTTAGTTGAAACCTGTCAAGTCAGGGTCTGTCTTACTTGGGATCTGCATGATTGGGCCCTGGCTGGCAAGGAGCCTGTCCTGCTGGCTGTATTATCATGCTTGACTCCCTGTCAGGGACTTCAGTGGGCCCTGACACTGTATTCATTTGAATCTTTCCTGTTGTAGCTTAAGATAGCTCATTTTCCTGACTTACGGTAGTTCTGCTAGCAGATTTGGCCTCCAGAGCAGTTTAGAAATCATCAGCATAGGCACTGGTTTTGTACAGAAGTATTGGTGTGATCCTTGTTTTGCAGAGACTGAAGCCTGGGGCTGTGTTCAGGAGATCAGAACCTTTTTTACTCCTCTGTGTTCGTTTAGATCCTGATCTCAACTTTTTTTTGAGCAATACTTGTAAATCAGCTCATTGGCACATTGAAAAAGGTTGTAGAATGCACTTCACCTCTCTATAGCTTCTGTACCAAATCTTCTGTCCCTTTTCAGAAATTCTCTCTAGGTATTGCTTTAGCAGAAAGCCAACATATCCTATTGTTATGGAGGTACTATAGAGATACTGTTTATGTTTGTCTGTGTCCAAAGATCCTGCTGCATCTGTTTCCTTGTACAGGGACTACATGAATTAAAGTCAGACATGCAGAAAAAATCAAATTTAGAAGAATGATAGTAGTAAATTGCATGTGGTTTGGGAAGGAACCACCTTGGTTTGTATCATGTAACTTTCTCCATTTCCTTTCTGTCCTGCAGTTAGACTAGAACGCTGTTGCTTAACTGATTCACGGCTGGCTGAGATGAGCTTATTGGGCTTTCAGCCACCCTGTGTATTGTCCTCTGGCTTGGACAGAATGCTAACAACAATTTCAGACCGTTTTCATAACGGAGGGGTGCACAGTGTCACGTGGGTAAATGAGTTATATTAGTTTTCTCACCTAACCCTCCAAGTCATGATCCATTCGGTAACATTTCCATAGTAGCCTTCATGTCTATTTCACATCTTTCCACATGGAGACATGTTCTCTTCATGGCAATCTTCTACAAGATTTATAAACCTGTTTTGAGATGTTCTCTATGTCATTGCATTGGCTGCTTTGCTCTTGGCTGTTACACAGTTCTTAAAGGTTTCTGTTCTGTGGTTGTCCAATCAGAACAATGTCAGAAAAGAAGTGTCTTTTCATTCTACTCTGCTAAAAAATGGACAGTGATGTGCTTGTTCAAGCAGGCTGGTCAGTGTTCTTCAAAATTAAATGCTGTCAGTATTTTAAACCTAATGATCTGCATGTATAGAAGGCTTTCCAGTCAAGCTTTGGATACTCAGGTACACTACTTGAGCATCAAGCACTAAATAAATGAGTTGTTATTTCTGAGAAACAATAAAACTGAAATATATTCTGAATGATCATTAAAAGTAAAGTTTTTACTTTTTCTGAGTTTGGTAATGTATTCTAAAAAATAGCATCACTGTGGTATATCTTTGTCTTCTACGTTCACTTTCTTTCAGTCTAATAAGGATGATATCATTTAAGGCAATCAAATAAGTGGACTGTTTCATTGTTGCTCCATAGATGGGGCAGAAATATCACCAGGTTTTCTAATTATAGGAGACAGAACTAATGTTCTGTTCATTTTTAGGATGTGTTTTGTGGTTCTTACACTGCAGACTCAAGCAGTCTTTTCATGTCAATTAAAATTCAGATTATATTCTCTAGTTTTCAGGTAAGGAGTAAAATCCTGTGAATGTGATTTTTTTGTAGGTTTAAGACTTAAAATTAAAAATCCAGTGATAGATCTGTTATTTACTCATTATTCAGAGAGGAAAGACATTGACAGAGGCAATTATGTATAACTCTTTTGACATTCTTAGAAATGCAAGGAACTAAGATGAATACATCAGATCCACATTCAGATGTGGATGCAAAACCTGTATTCCAGTCTCTAACGCTTTAAAACTGGAATAGCAAATTATGGAATTAGCTCTGCTATTTAGCTCTATGTCTATTTAGAAGTGATTTGTAAATGCCTAAAAAAATATTTAGAAACTTTGAGGGAAAAGGTAGATACAAAGTACTTAAAATTTGCAAAGGTCAGAAAGATTTGACGCATAAAAGTACATTTCAATCAATTTCTTTTTATGTTCGTCTTTCAGAGCTTCTGTTTCAAAGTACTCTGGCTCTCCCTCTGACACTTACTAGATTAACTTTTCTTCTGATGTTACATCTGCAGCAGAATTGCGTAGGAACATGGTATCAGCTCACCACAATTTGCATAGAAGTGCAAATTTGTTACATTTAAAGACATTATAAAATTAAAGTATTTAAACCCATGTGGTTTGGTAATACTGAATTGGAAACATCTCACAGTCATTTATAGTCTGACTGTGCTGAAATCAGAGTTCCCTAGTTGATGTGACATGATTATATGTTATGAGTGCATGTGTTAACCTTTCAAAATAAAATGTTCGGTTTCTTCTTTTAAATACCAAATGCTGATAGTTATAATACTTGCTGATATTTGCTCACTGACAGTCTCACTTGTTTTCAAACCCCACATATTTAAAGTTGTGGAGTGTTAGATTGATGTTTCTTTCACTCAAATGTCATATTCATCAACTGTATTGTGCTAGCAGATTGTTAAACAGACAAGGTGATTTGCAGAGTGACAAGCGATGTGATGTCCCAAACCATTAAAATACAGTAATGATGTGTTTTTTCCCTTTCGGCTTTTGCAACACAGTGGATTTTCTGTAAAACACAGGTGAGAACATTCCTGAGTAGATCCATGGCGTAGAAAAAATCCAAGTTAATGAATAACAGAACCTGGAAGTCAGTTGGAACCTCACAGATAATTGAGAAGTTCTGAAGAGTTAGAAAAAAATAATGTAACAGTATTATATAATGAGAAAAAGATACATTATAAGGAAAATTAAATTGCTTGATGTATTATACTGTCTTACATAATCAGTTTTGAGTATCTTTTTTTTTTTAAAGCTATAATAAAAGCTATTTTTTAATTTTACTTGAATAGCCTCCCAGGAATACCACAGGAAAGGACGGAACTTCTGCTTAACCTTATATCAACTCAAATGTCTTTCTCAACTTATCAAACTCTTCTTATTAATGGAGGAAAAAATTGAAGAGCTCTCCACAGAAATTCTGCTGCTGCCTTCATTTACGGAGAGGAATAAGAATGTTCAAGGTAATGAATGATTGTTCTGATTTAATGGTTTACCTTGTGTAAAAGAATAATTTTATGCTATTTTCAACATTAATTACGTAATTTATGTCATCTTATTTTTCAAATAAATGTGTTTCCATAATCCACTGAAAAAGCTTTTGAAATGTGCAGATTTACATTTGAGCATGATGACTTGTAGAAAAGAACTGATTGCTGTGTATAAAGATGTGATGTACTAACTGTAGATATTGATGGAGAGCCATGATGAAAAGCTATCAAACACTGCAACAAGATATCTCCTACTTGATTCTCTATAAAATCCTGTGTCTCATATAGGACACAACAATACTTGGAGTCTGAATTCTTTGAAACTGACTTTTTCTGAACTTGTTTTTGAAAACTGCCTTTTTCAAGAGAGAAAGCACATACATGAATATCAGTTTAGTTGATCTTAGTGTACATGAAACTAACCGCTAAAGGATATAGTCCATTCTTTACCTGTATTTCTCACACTTACTCATATGCACTGTGTTTACTCGCATGCTTATCTCACTGGCTTCAGTGGCTGTGTTACAGAAGGAGGCTCTACATCAGTAAAATGATCAAGCCTCACGTTTGCATTTAGGTTCCAAGCTCACCTTTTTTCCTCTAATTGTATTCAGTAGAACTGGGTATCATGAAAATTCAGGTGAATAACACCTTCATATGCTTATAAGTAATATGCTTATAAGTATTATTCTTCTCTGCTGCTTCTGCCAGTGGAGACTCCAAGTCATGAGAGAGAAGTGGTTTCAAGAGCTTTGATTCTATTGCAGGAAAAGATCAGACCAGAAATGAGGCCAGGCTGCTCAGGGAGAGCGGATAGGTGAAATCAAATGTTCACTATCTATAGGCTGAGGAGAAAGATATTTTGGGAATGATGTTGTCTCAGAATACAACATTGATGAAAATAAAAATATTAAATAAGAAATGTTTCAAGGCACGCATTTTGTTATTGTATTCTTTACCTCTAATATTGACACTCCAAAATAAAGAAATACAGGTTAACCTATATATTTTTAGAATATACAACAAAGCTCTAATAAAATGTGTATTCAAATTCCATTTTTGCTGACTTCAATGACTTCAGTGACTTCAATGTATTTCTTCCTCCTTTAGTCAGTTTTACTAATTCAAGAAATGCTAAGTTATTATTATGCATTATAATTTATGTTTTATGTTTATATTTATATTCTACAAAGAGGTCTTAGAATAAACTTGTACAGTTTTCCTCATGTGTTGGACAGGCTATACACTCAGGATGGGCAATGGTAAATGTACTTTGTATTACTGTATCATGTGTAAAGAAATTGTAAAAAAAGGAAGTGTAAAAAAAATCAAAAAGTCTTGAATGCAAAATTTATTTGATATTTATGTGACTATATTCTAAGGCAGGTGGTCTCCAGTAATTCAGAGAATTTAACAATTTCAAGATTAGCAATAAATATTTTACTTTCCAGGAAGTAAAAATTATCCTGCTTAATTAATTAATAAAAATTTTCCAAGCTTAATTACATCCAGAACTATTTCTCCAAAGAGTGTTAAGCTGCCTTCTTTGAGAAATGTTCTTTTAGAGTAATCATGTCCATAGCAAGTTGGTTCTTAATTGGTACCTCTACTTAATCAAATCTGAATTGGGAAAATATTATTAGACCTTGTAGGAGGCAGTCTCGTGGGTAAAAGGTACATTCCAGAAAAAACACAGAATTCATCTTACCCTGAAAAATAATCAAGGGTAAATATTTTTCAGGTGCTTTTAGTGAAGTCTTCAGACATACTTTTGTTTTTAGGGTTGCTGTTTTGATCAGGTGGTTCTATTCACAAAACTGTTTGCAGTGATCTGTTTACAGATAGTTTGTGAAAAGAAGACATGTCCGGAAAAATTTTTAACAAGAGGTCTGACTAGAAGAAAGGTTTATTGGTGTTATTTTATTTTCATATTGTTGGAAATCTCATTTGTAGTGAAGTGAGGTGAAAGATGATTTAGTGTGGGAGAATGAAAGCTATGTTCCCAGTAGTTCCAAGTTGTGTTAAGTACCTAAAAGGATTTAAGAATTTAGGATTAAGGATTTAAGGTTTGTTATTGTCCTATATTGGGTTGATAATTTTATTTTTTTCACTGAGGATGGCTGAGTCTTTTTATAAGAAGGGTTGGTTAGAATCCTTGTTTTATTTGCATCAGAACACATTGTAATATGTGACTAGACAATATAATGGCCATCTTCAGTACTTATTTAGAAGACTTATTACTAGAAATATTGTTTAATTTAGCAGAGTCAGGATTGTAGGTAAGTCTGAAGCAGCTTTAAGTTATCTTGAGTACAAAGGTCAGGTTTACAGTGCAGCACGTGCTGCAGAACCAGTCTAAGAGACAGTGAATTAACCCAACTGAAGTGAATGCTGATGGTGCTAGACAGTTACCCATACTCTCAGTGGGTTCAAGCTAGGTTGGGTATATCCAGCCTACCCATCAGTCTCCGCAGTGAGGGATATCTCAAGTGTCAGTGCACTGCAAGTAGTACTGCTGGCAAACTAGCTAAAGACGGCTGATTCATAAAAGGTAGATGAATGTCCAAGTCACCTAAAGTTTCCCTAGGCATTGTGTAGACAGAAGCCTTGTACTTGTTTCCTTTATGTTTTGGTTGCTTTTAGTGTTCATGGGAGACTTTTAATCTATGTAGCTCACACAGAGGTGCAACAAAAATAATGGTTTTTTCATGTGCTTGTGTCAAGTGGTATGTTTATGTGTATAGCTGTTTCAATGTCAATTGATTTTTTGTTTTATATTCTGTAGTACTTCAGTTTTGATATTTAGAACATGTATAAAGTTCCATCAGAGACAAAGTAGTTCTTTGGATGGTTCCTCTTTGTAAAATTTTTTTTTGTCCCAAAGATGGCATCTGAGTTATATCTAAACCAGACGGTTTCTTGGCCCTCATTTTTCCCTAAACCCAGCAATGACAAAGAGCAACGGCTGCATAAATTGGATGTAAGAAGAACACTTAGGGTTTATCACAGAAGAATCAAAGATTTCATATCTTCTGACAGATTGTTTGTACTCTTAGGGGGTCTTAAGAGGGGTCAAATGGCTTCTAAGAGTTGCTTAGCTAGATGGTTAAGGGATTGTATTAGAGAGGCGTATGTAGTTAAGGGTAAAGAGGCTCCCAGGGTTTGTAAAGCTCATTACACTAGGACTATAGCTGCTTCTTGGGCGGAGAGGTCGAAGGCTTCCACATTGGAAATTTGCAAGGTGGCCACCTGGGCTTCTCTTCATACTTTTTCATTGCATTATTGCTTGGATGTAGTCTCTTCTGCAGATTCTGCTTTTGGTAGGAGGTTGCTTGTGAACCAAAAAAAGAACAGTGAAGAAAAGAAAGACATGTAGTTCAGAGTTCTAGCTGGCAACAAGACAAGTTTCTTTGCAGCGTGCACAATGGAATCCTATGAAGACCAATTTAGGCCGTTGAAAATAGATGTTAGAGGGAAGTACTGCCTACCAGTGTTCTCTGATGGTAACCCCATGGCAGACAATAGCACCAAAGGAAACAGTGAACCAGAGTGAACTCTGTAGGGAGATGGATGTAGAGAGTTTTTAGGTGATACAGATAGGTCTCTGAGTTCAGTTTGAGAGTTCTTTATCTGGCATCTTCTGGAATATAGTCAGAATTCTCATTTTCACAAATTACTTTACATAGATTGGAGAAAAGAATTCTCTGAATTGCATTTTCCACTCTACTTCTTTTCACTGTTCTCCTTCCAATTCTTCCTGATTTTAATTTTGACTTTACCAGCAGTAACTTAGTGTTCCTCAATATGTACATGCCAAGATTTGAGCTTGATTTAAAACTGTATTTGTGTTATCTAAGCACAGTTTTTAAAAAAGATAGTATCAATATACATTTTATCTACTACTAATGTGTTCTTCAGGTTATCCTTTAAATCAAAATAAGGAGAAAATCATGCAAAGTTCTTGGACAAACAAGTGAAGGCATGGTTTTCTACCCCTGAACATTAGTGTGTCATCTGGACAAGACTGCTACTCTGCCTTTCAGAGAAAAGGTATCTGTATTGTTCTGTCGTTTACAGGACATTAATTCGCAATGGTGTATACCTTCATTCCACTACAGGCATTGGATTTCATAAAATTATAGGAGTAACCATTCCCAGTTTTTTCTTGACTATTTAACCGTTTCATCTGCAGGTATCTTGTCATGCCTACTGTGATGAGATAGTCTACTTCTCTATTTACATTCAGCTGAAATTAATGAGATGTTCTAAGATACCTAGTACGTCCAGATCACAGCTTCTCTTTGAAGCAATCAGGAACATGATTGTCTACAATCAAGTGTTAAGCATGAGACTTGGGTTTAGAACTCTGCCAAATTGCATTCTCTTTCCAGCTTTAAGATAGATTTTCCTTTCCTCTTGGGTTTTCAGAAGCTTCTTGTTAAGACTTCTAAAAAATCAAAAATATCTAATGTGCTTTCATCTGTCTCACATTTTTTCCCCATTTCAGTGAGAAAGGTGAACTTTGGACAGATCAGATAACGAATACCAAGAAAGGCTTTTTCCAGTGGAGTGCTTGAAAACACTGTGGGTGAATTTGTCAAATCCTTAGGTTTACAAGCTCTGTCTCATGGGACTGGGAAGATTTGCAAAGGTCTTTCCTTCACACTTTAAATAGAGATGCTTAACTCTATATCCATTTCTGGAAAGGGTAATAAAAGGAATGTAGAATAAAATTTTTGAGGTGCATCCTCCTAACTGACTTTTGTTCAAAGTTGCAGTATTGCAAGAGTTGCAATTGAAGATTAAAAAAAGTTGTGATTTTTGCTTTGGTCTCAACATAAGATGTTCAAGTATCTTCTTTTACAAATACACAGCTTCAGTGGATCAATCCAAAGTAAAGATGAATTTACACTATTAGGAGAATATGATTTCAGAGGTGCATTATCTGCATCTGGGCTAGTACAGTTTGCTTG